CCCGGCGGGCCCACCAGAACGACAGGTCCTGTGCGCGTGTCGTAGATGACAACGATATCCCCTTGGCATCGTCTTTGCGCATCGTCATCGACTACGTACTTAAACACAAAAGTCTTCCATTTTGCTACGCAATCAAAGTGCGTCTCGCAAATCCGCGCTTTACTATAAGAATCCAATCCTGCTCAATAATCATTTACCCTATACGAGTCTATTAGCAGAATACTTATAATACAATACAAGTATCCTAATGACGATTATCTGCTCGTTAAAACGCGCTATCAATAAAAGCGGAAATTTAATGATACGGAAGGGAAATAAGTTTCCCTTCCGTAACGCAAAAAAAGATATATTATACCCGTCAATGAAAATACGCGCAACGAAAGAGATTGGCTATCTTTGTATTCAGCGGATATTTTTTTACTACACGTCAATTGTACTTCCGTTTCATCCGGTCTCTTTGTCATTCCCTGCCGCATCCGCAGTCTTACTGTCCCTGAAACTCTCGCGAACGGCGCGAAACGCGAGTAGCACCGTAGATAGATAGTACGCCGCTTTTAGAGAAAGACTCATTGACTATTGTGACGTTTGAGTTAGGGTTGACTCGATGACAGCTCGGCTGTCTTATCTTAGCTGCGAGATTTCGGTCGGGGCGGCTGCTTTGTGCATTCGTATACTTGGAGACAGTATCGTTGTGGGCGCTTCTGTTACTCACGCGTGTGAACACATCGTCTCGTCCATTTAGACATATATGTGTTATTACAAGCTCTATGAAACTCACGAAACACCATTTGGCGATTTATTGTACTCGTCCGAGACGAACGAATGAATCGCTCTTGAAGCTCTTACCTCTCCGCTGATTCTTCTTCTTGTGAAACGACGAGCTGCAAAATTCATAGCAATTCTTTGAAAAAGAAGTTTGTTGTACGTTTCCCTGATTAAAAAATAATAAAATGAAATATTTTGTTAATTAAAAAAAAATGAACTCAATAATAAACTTGAAAATTAGAAAAAATTATAATAAATTAATATACAATAATATTCATAGGTTCGTAGACGATCCATATTTATTTCTATTCTTCCAATATTGCCTACACATATTGAAGTCAGCAATAATCAATACATAAATTAATCATAAATATTAATCGTCTGGAAATACTATCCTTTTTATATTAATACGTTGAGTACAATTAATTAATAATTTGTACTTGGCGCAGAGGGCAGATACTTAATAATAATTGTTTTGTCGTGACGTATACTTTTTATTTGACATCACCTCGTATTTACACTCATGAAAGTCCATAATAATTATATTAATTGTTACGTGATAATTACAATGAATGTGCGGCCGGTAAACGTTTAAAACCGCGTGTCAACGATAGTAAGGAGTAACAAGTCGGTTAACGATTTTCTTTTATTTCCGTGCTGCGAAGGCCAAGCCTCTCTCGCGCTTCTCTAGTCAATGTTATTTAAGGAAATTAATTAGTCGGCGTGATATGGATGCTGTTGCGGCGACTCGCCCTCGAACAGAGCCATCTTCAGTCGCTTATTCTTGGCCCTGCGGTTCTTGAACCAGAATTGCACGTTCTTCGGCTCCAGGCGTGGAAACTTCTGGCGATAGGGCATCTTGTTCAGCTCCTCCGTGTACGACAGAATGAGCTATGGACCGATCGTAAAATCGTTTTTTTTTTAGCGAATTTTCCGTGAAAAGTGCAAATTAATAACTTCCCACAGTAACTTTTAGGCTTACGCTACCTTGAGGCGCCATATTAATTATATGACGTTAAAGAGGAGAAATGACGTGCAATAAATTAATTGCTACATACAGCTTTACCTTTTTTAATTTTCCTTTAAAAACATAATAATTTCGTAATTCTAAAATCTGTAAAATATGCGGCAAACTGAGAATATCTGTTCAACCGCGGTATTTGACAATTAAAAAAGATGTACCAATATTTTTGAAATTCAGGAATTATTTTATATTTCTACGTGACATGTCGAATAAATGATTCAGTTTTTTTGTCACATATTTTACGGATTTCATAATTACGAACTTAATATATATTTATAAGGGAAAATAAAAAATAAAGCTATACGTAGCAATTAATTTATTGCATTTCTGCCTTAATTTATTGCCTTTGGCATTACAAGTGATATCATCTCGAGACAGATCAGGCTTTAATAAAGTTATTTAAAAAAATTCTAAGAGCAAGGAAGTTTAAATGTCAACTAATTATACATTCCTTACTAATTCATGAAATTTACTCATGGAATTAACATAAAATATAATGTATTTCCGTACATAAATGTTTTGATGTAGGAAACATTTGGAATGAATAAAATTTCATTTATGACTGAAATATTTTGTTCCGAGCATAATTATATCTGCAAATATGCTATTATAATCCATAGAAATTTCTCATAATTTCTCACATGCTAATATCGCCATCGAATGGTAGGACAAATTAGCGCGATAACGATATATATGTACGATCGATTTATACATACCGCGTGGCTTGGATGAGTGCTCCGCTTGAACCAATACTCTAATCTCGGCACTTCCGTCACGGGATCGATGAACGTCCGGTTCCTCTTCCTTCTCTCATCGGCTAGCATGCTGGTGGGACAACCGGCAGGTCCGCGCGGCGGCAGATAATGCGACATGTACATTATACCATGACCGAACATGGGGCTGGGTACCAAGGAAAATCCTGGCGGAATGGGGCCCGTATGCCTGGTTTCATCGTCCTCGGAACCAGAGGAAACCCTCGCGTCTTCTTGCTTTACCGAGGCTGGAGTAGATGTCGGCGGTTGTTGCTGATCCTCGGGTCTTGTAGTCAAGGACAGTGGGCCGACAGGTGGACTGCTCGGTGGACAAGGTGACCCCGATGTCGACTGAAAGCAGCGATTAAGAATCTCATCTCTTTTGGGTTTTAGGGTCCGTCAAATATCACAAGCATTAAGATCTTATGTAGAAATTTCTGAAAATCGCAATTTTTCTTTTTTGTCATTTGCCATCTGATGTATCTTTCGAGAAGATTTGAAGGAAAATTATCGTTTCTTTTAAATATAATATAAATGTTTAATCTTCGATGCCTCCTAATATTAATTTAATATTACAATTTTCAATTCTTTCTCACAAAACGATATGTACCTGATGCCTAGTGTCCTCCTCTTCGTCCGTGCAGTCCTCGCTAACGATGCTGGCGCCCCTCGGACTAAGCCCAGGTGGACTGCAGCCATTCATGCTGGCTCTCTTTTGCGCGGCCCTAGCGTTCTTGAACCAGTATACAACATTATTCGCGTCCAGTGGTTTCCTGCCGCGGCGCGACTCTAGAGAGTTCAATTCCGCGACATAGTGTTGTATTTGTTCGCGCGACGGATGTTGATTCTCAGCAAACCAACGCTGGAGACGCGGCAACTCGAGCTCCGAATCGAAGCTGGTCCTCATCCTGGTCTTGTGCGAATACTGAAGAAGTGCCGGATGCGGGGGTCCGATCGGACCGCTGCCGGGAGCGATCGTACCTCCGCTATCGGGCTGTGGACTTTGCGTGTGATGATGATGATGATTGGAAGTTGGTGCTATTGGATTTATACCGAGACCTATCTGTTGTTGCTGCAGCCACGTTTCAAAATTTCTCTTTGTCTCTTCCGACAGGTCGTTGCCACCTCGACAGAGGGATAGCAGAGTCATCTGCAAGAAGAAAACATGATCTTTTTTCAAAGACCTTACTATTGTATTAGCTGCTATTTAATGGAGTTTAATTGCAGATAATCTCTCTCTCTCTCTCTCTCTCTCTCTCTCTCTCTCTCTCTCTCTTTCTTTCTCGTCTCTTGTCACAGACGTAATAACCTCTTCTGTATATACCCACTGATACATAGGACTCCTAGTTTTTAATGCCGGTTCCGAATGCTTTTCTTAAAAGAGGTTGTCATGACAAAGTACTCTTAATTTGCCATTACCTTCCGAGAGATCGATCAAATAAAATCTTACGTACGTATATATACATATACGTTTTGGGTGGATTTAAACCCCGGATCTTTAACACAGAGCATCCATGCAATTCTCTATTACGATCGCTAATATGAATAAATCTTGTAAAAAGTAAAAGATTAATTAATATTTATAATTAATGACTATTAAAATATTTTTGTTTTCTTACTTCGTCTTTCCGTTATTATTATAGATAATATTAAAAATGTTTTATTAAAAAGACTGTTAGTCACGTAGTCGTAAGCGCAATGCAATGCTTCGTATCACATTACATTATTTTTGAAATAAGTAAGAGACAAGATGAATAAGAGATACCGAAATCGAAACGAAATTAAAATCAAGACAAATTTATTACGTGGATTGAAATTCTTTCGACAATCGATTTCTCTTTGGCTGGTTGTTAACGCGGGCAAGCGTTACAAAGTGACGTCGTTCAGCATCATCATCGTCATGGCATTAAGATGACAGATTACGGAAAATTTCGCTCGCAGGAAACGGTACGCGCATCTTATCTGGCCGATGATTTATAAGAACAAATATATCTTCGGGCTGGAAGATCAGGCGCTTGACGCCACTTTAATAACGCGGTAATCCGTCGCGTATCCCTGGCACCTTAGTAGCGTCAGATACTATCAAGACGACAATTATCCAGCCGCCAGCGGCTTCTCGCTAGTCACCTCCTCGAATTCTCATCCGCCTCAGTTTTACGACACCGCACTTAATCACTCCAGGTAGGCAGGTGAGGCGCGAGTCTTGACAGGCGTTCTCAAGATTTCAGAAATCGTTCGGCAAACAGTGGTACGCCGTCGAAAGCGGGGCGGGCCGGCTTATCTGACAACATTGCATCGCGATTCAAAAGCCTGATTTACACGTATTTATTATTTAAGAGTAATTGTGCGCAGTAATCGGCTGATCCATAGAACGGTGGTAAATCAATCGCGGTCATGAGATCCAGAGATCAAACAATTCGCGAAATCGCAGTAAGTTCGCGAAATTCGTGATGCGTATATCAAGAATTATCACTATGACTTTTGCACATTTGAAAATATCACAATTATCACAATGTTATGAACGTTCATAATTTTGATGTTTTGAAAGAAATTGATCGAGTAACCAGTTATCCTATCTCTCTTAACTATTATGTATAAAAATTGTCCGTAACTAACTTTTTTTTTTATTAAACTTTTATAAAGGTACGCTGTATTTATCGCCATTCTTATATAATTCTTTATCACGAATTTTATTTTGTTAATTAAGTGTGGATGCTACAATCAACAAATCTTTATCAAAGCTAACATAATTTTTCTTTTTACATAAATATATATGTGTATGTATTATAAAAATGTAAATCAGATTTTGGGATGTACGTAAAAGAATTTTGCAAAAATATATAGTAAATAAATCACAAATGCCGCTGCCGCGTTATAAATACAGTTAAGCCCTAATCCTGATATATCAGACCGACGTCTGTTAACATCAACTGTTCTACATTTCAAACTAAATAAGATTCAAAATAAATTTTGTTGCTTTTTATTGTCTGACATCGCGATGACATTGATGATTTATGTTTGCCAATCCCAATTAATGCAAATTTCACGCCCGAGCCCCTTGAAAAGTATTTATTACCTTTCCGAAACTTTCCATTATCCTGAAAGAAATACGAGCACAAGTACTTTTCAAAAATCATGCTTTAATGCTCTTCGTTTGTATGACTTTGCGTGTTTAAAATTCTAATCACTCTGTAACGAAAGCAATTTTGATATATCCGAATGCCACAAATTGTGCACTTCATCTGAATCACGGATACCAGAGATAACTGATACCAATCTCATGATAAATATTGTTGCATCAAGATAAAAGCAAATTAAATTTACAAAACGCAGAAAATAATAAATTTTTTGTCATTTACTATAGCTTTAATAAGCATTTAATCTGAACCTTTATCTCTAAAATTTTTCCTTAAAATTTAATATCGGAAAGAATTAATAAAAGCGTTTTCTAGATAATATATCTCAATTCAATTTTCTCTTTAGAGAAAAGAAAGATCCCTTACATTTGTAAAAAAAATTCGTGGTTAACGAAAAATCTCTGAACCTTCAAATTTCTTCACGATGATCAAATATAAGCGCGAGAGATAGAATAATTTAGAATCTTCTGAAAAAGATGCCATTGTCGAGATACATCATACGTAAAGGGAAAACGAGGAAGGGAGATGCTTGGCAGCATGTCTTCGTGCATCACCGTCAGATTAAGCCAAATCTATGCGAGAGACGTCGGTTCTCCATCACAGCGGTTCGCCATTAGCCGTCGGGCTACGAAACTCAAGCAGGAAACGTTTGCCAGAGAAAATTGGTAATCATAGACCACCGTGAGCGGCATTAAAGTTCGGGGATGGGCGGGTAGCGGGATCTTCAAAGAGAGTGCACTTAGATAATGCCAGCTCGGAGGAGGCAGGGTACTTCTCCTCTCTCCCCCGATACCGATATCGAGGGGCTTTTGATGAAGGCTGCGAATTTGGTTGAGTAAAGGGTAATCCTATCACACGCTACGAGATCTTCCGGAAGGGCACGCTTGCGCGTGTGGACCATCCCGAAAAATCGCGCGTCTATTTCAATCTTCGGGGAACGAAGTCTTCAGGGAGAGAATCGCACGACCGGGATAAACTTCTCGCGAAGTCATTGCGAAAAACAATTTCACATTGTTAGCTGGAATAGTCGGGATCACTTTAATCAGTTTTGTCGCTGGAGACAAAGACTGAGTGGCTACTAGTTCACGCAACGTTAATACAATTTGTGAAATCATTTATGCAAAATTGCTAACTCGTCAGCGAAATATTGACATTGCGATAAAATTCTTTTAGTTAATTGCCGTTATCTGTTTCATTAAGATCTTGATTAAGATGTAGTTTCAGAAAAATCTGTTTTCACTACTTTAGGAAAGAGATAAATCAATTAAAAATTTACGTAATTAAAAATTAACTAAAAATTTGCGCGATTAAAATAATGAATGAACATTACAAAGTAAAATATTTCAGAGCCAGAGTCGGAATTCGAGAAAACTTCATTATTCGAACGTTTCGATTCGCGCGGGAATGAAAGCTACCAAAAGCGCGGTGACTTCTCTCGACTAGTGATTCGAAACCAAGAAAGCATTTATTCAAGGTGAGGATCAGCGAGCCGCGAGCAAGAATTTACCGAAGATTACCACTTGCCGTTCTTACGGGAGGTACAAGAGTACCGGAGGACTTCTTAATGAGATTAAGTGCCCCGACGACAAACACTCTTTGGCTAGATTTACATTTTATACATTTTTAAGCGGTTGCCTTACTACTGTATTCTTGCTCCGATCTCGCCTTGAATAGCCTTTAAATTCTCTCGATATACCGCGCCATTATTTAACCTCGTTCTTTAAATAAACGCACAATATAGATATATTTTTTCTTTTTCTATGATATTTTTTTCGTATTTTTATTTTTACTAACACCGAGATATGGACGAAAAGAAGGCAGAGAAATACGCCAGATGCGAAAGATAGGAACTGTTTTGTTGGAGGATCTAAAATTTTTCTGAATACAGATCTGAAAATAATTTTGTTGGACTATCAAAATAATTATATATTTAAAATTAAAACAATAATAAGCAATGGCAAAAATTTTGATATTCTAACAACCAGTTTGAATTTCCATCA